TGAGACTGCAGGGGCATGTTCTATACACCAAAACTGCTTCATTAAGCCAAAGTTGTTCAGGTGATTGTAGTGTCCCTTTAAATATCAAAAAGCACGTGAGAATATAAAATGCAGAGAGCTAAAATAAGATTCTCAACTCAAACCTACTATATTAGATGTCCTTAATCCTCTTCTTAACAGATCTTGGTAATTACATTCAGATGTCAAAAATACATTACACACTAGACAAGGACCACTTAATTTCTTTAAAAATAAATACATTTTCCATAATAAGCACTAGTTTAAACTGATATTTTTCCAAAAACGCATGGATATCAAGTTTCTGTACATCAAGATAGTTAAAGGTCTTTCACTCAGATGGCAAATCTCCTTGAAAGCTGAGACAAAGTTTAATGGGTCATTAATGTCTAAATATAAATGAATTTTATAGGAAATAGCATACTGAGATAATGTGTGCGTAAATGTTATGAGATTCGCCTGTTATGCATTTTACTGCTGAAAGAAAGCCTTTATCTAAATGAAAGCAGGTAAGAGTTTCAATATGAAACACAGAAAAATAAATTAAATCTAAGATATTTTCTATAAATTAGATTTTCTGATTTTCACACTGTCAAAATATATTTGGAATTCAGGTCACTGACCAGAAAATATAAAGAGATCCTCTAGGGCTATTACATATATCGTATTTAAGCTGTCATTTAATTTTTATAATTGCTCCATTAGACTTGTATAAATTATAATTTGATATCTAGACACAGACCCTCACTATAATAGCAGAGAGTTTAGCATCCAATGACTTTAAAAGGTGGTGGTGAGTACTCCAGTTTTCATACCTCTTTTGATATTATGCTTAAAGGACCACTATAGGCACCCAGACCACTTCAGCTTAATGAAGTGGTCTGGGTGCCAGGTCCAGCAAGGGTTAACCCTTTTTTCTATAAACATAGCAGTTTCAGAGAAACTGCACATTCAGCCGAGGAGGAGGAGAGGAGGCGGAGAGGAGGATGAGAGCTCCCCGCCCGGCGCTGGAGAAAGAGGTAAGTTTAACCCCTTCCTCACCCTAGAGCCCGGTGGGAGGGGGACCCTGAGGATGGGGGCACCCTCAGGGCACTATAGTGCCAGGAAAATGACTATGTTTTCCTGGCACTATAGTGGTCCTTTAAGCTCAAGGTATAAGAAATTAAACATAAGTTGAGTATATTGAAGGTCCCTGATGTTCAATAATGGTAGGGACCTTCAAACTAATGAACCTATGTTTAATATCCATCCATACCTAAGCACTCTGAACTACAGCTAATGCTGGACTAATGCAATATCTGTTGTGGTGGTCAAGCAGAGGTTCAAAACTACTCCATGCTAGACCAACAATGAATGTTGTTCTAGCATGGAGTAATTTTGAGCTTCTGCTTGACCGCTGCTACGGATATTTGTACAAGTCCAGCATTAGCTGTAGTTCAGAGTGCTCAGGTATGATGGAATCTTACTAAAAAGTAGTAAAAAGCCAAGTAAATACATATCTTAAACACAAAAGGCTCAGATCTCTGGTAACCTTTTCAGATATTGAACCAGAAGAATAAGAATGCAATGAGGACAACACTGTCATGCACAATGGAACTTTGTGTTAAATCCCAGTTAAAACCTATCCAAATCGTGTAACTCAGCTTTTGGGAAAGTCAAAGACCACAGTGCCTTCGCAATTTTGTTAAATCATATCTATACAAAGAACTAGGATTTATTACGTTATTGACCAGGCTGTCATGCATTCAGGTACACTGAACGTTAAGTGGAAGATATAGGCATGTGATGTTGAAGAGCTGGCATTACTTTACAGAAGGGTCCAGGGCTGCCATCAGGGAATGAAAAAACAAAAACAAAAAAAAAGGTGAAAGCGCAAAACTCTCAGTAATATATTTTACCTTTTTGTTAAATATTCACATATGGATCCTATTCCCAGTAATAGTATATAACTTAGTATATAATAGTATATAACAACATAGTGTGTACTGTTGTGATAAACATACAATGTGATGAGAAGAAAAAACACACTCACAATTTTCAGAGCCAAATAAGTTAGGCTCTGACTATAGACTATATAACTTATTTGGCTCTGGAAATTGTGAGTGTGTTTTTTCTTCTCATTACATTGTATGTTTGTCACAACAGTACACACTATGTTGTATTTCATATTCACTGTATACAGGGTCCACAGTTAAATACTTTTAGTGGGAATAGGATCCATATGTGAATATTTAACAAAAAGGTAAAATATATTACTGAGAGTTTTGTGCTACCACCTTTTTTTTTCCTTCTATTGGATTTCTATACACAGTGTATGAAGTGTGATTTTTAGCTGCACTGGTTCTATTATTTTTTTTTTTAATTTAGCGCCTTTTTCCCCCTTCTATTGTTTACTTTTGCTTGTACTACTCTAAGTCATCAGGGAATGAAAGCCCATGCTGTGTTCAGGGGCAAGGCCCAGCACTGGTGCCCACATGGAGAGCTTTGAGTGTGTCTAGCGGTGCGTGTGGGTGTGTGTCCCTGTAATTGTGTTTCTTTGTGTAAGCTTGAGAATGTTTATGTGTAGCTGTGAATATCTGTCTGTGATGGTATATGTTTGGGAATGTGTACATGCCTGTGAGTTTGTATGTGTGTGCATATCTGGGAGTTTGTGCCTGTGATTCTGTATGGGCCCCACAATTTCTGATGGCAGCCCTGGAAGCAAGACTTAATATATGATTGTATAGGCTACATGTGATAATGTGTTTAATCTCTATTGGCTTAATAAATAGTTATGTTGAAGATCTGACTTTAGCTCATTGGAGAGACAGCTCGTCTAGTTAGGAGAAAATATTCCCATGATTCTGAACGTTCAGAGATAATAGATGCATAATGAAAAGAGAAATGGTTATAGGTCACATACTTGCGAATAAACTAAAATGTGCCTGATATGGACTTTACCATGACAGTGGATTTCATTTGGTGCCATATTTTAAAAAAATAACAATCTACAAGTAAAATTCTCTCTGCAGATAACGTTTCCACTTCGTAATTCATCCACATAGAACATTACAGCAGTATCTGCACAGAATTTTAAGGCACAAATAGTAAAAGAAATGAATTATTTTTTATTACTGTAAGTTCATTATGCACAATGTACGCGGAGCTGTAAAGAGCCATAAGTGCCCACCAATCCCATCTTCCCCCCCACTGTCCTGTTATTACCTGTATAGTATTTCACAGCTATACTATGGTACAGATAATAAAAGGTTGTGGAGTAGAATCATGTCAGCAGCTCTAGTCTCTCTTTGTCTCTAGAGTGAGCTGTGTACATACTCAGAATATTTCAAATAAGGAAGTAGCGTTGTGAAAATGTGAGTTATGTCTAAAGGGGTGGGGTTATGCTGCAACACATTTTTTTTTAACAAAATTAGTTATTTGAATGTGGAAAAAATACAGCATGAATACAAGCCAAAACGTCAACAACAGATGCACTTATATTTTTTCAGGAAAATGCTGTTTTTGTAACTCATCCTACACCCCCCGCTATCCCTCCCTCCCCCAAATAAAAAAACAGAAACAAAAAGAAAATAGCTCAAACTTTTGAAAGTTCTCCCTCAGCCCGATCCTCATCTACTGATATCACTCTCACTTAATGAATGGGGAATGATGCCAAGGAGGGCAAAACTGAGTGAAGGCTAGAGCGGCAGGGAGAGGGGTGTGACTGGATGTCTTTTGCCAACATGCTGTGTGTGCTGATGACCAATGCCAAATATGCACAGAATTCACATTAGCCAGCCCGGAACTCTTGCTCCAAGATGGCTAATGAAGCTCCAATGACACTGCTGGGGATGGCTCTGTAAACTCTGTGTCTGAAACATTTCAAAGTGAAAAGCTGCACCTAGAGACTGCAGTACCATGACCACTTCAAATGGTCATGGTGCTTTAAATAAACCCTTTTAATTAAACGTCATTCAATTGCAAGTCATTTTTAACATAGTGCATGATTTAAATGTTTATACTGCATTGTAAACAGTAATTTATTGAACAAAACACAATTTTTTATTGTAAAGTGTATTTTAAGTGACTTTAAACATTCTAAAAATATACCAAACTATAAAAATAATATATTGACTTTACTAATGTAAATTTGTGTAATATTTTGAGAAGTTGGGCTAAGTATAGCTATACTAAGAAATAATAAAAAAAAATTTTTTAAAAAAAGAAACATTTTAAGAGACAACAAAAGCTTTCGCCATTCTGTATGTATAATAAAACATTGTTATAATAAACAGTTCCTGTAGTGGGGTTATAAATAATATTTAAGTCAATAGTTACACTGTAAATGAAAAGTAGCAATTCCTTACATTATAGTAAGGGTGTTTACATAAAATGTATACTAAGTATATTGTGTGGCTGCTTCAAAATCAATGCAAAATGTACCTTATGCAAGAACTCTTAAAGGCACAGGATGATCACCTTGCCTGTATCACTGACCAGTAATGGAAATACAAATCAAAATGCAACACTAAATATAAATGAGAAAAAAGTTGAAATATTTCTCACATTATATTAAGGGTGCTTACATTAAATATACTAATTATATTGTATGGCTGCTTCAAAACCCATGCAAATTGTACCTTATGCAAGAACTCATAAAGGCATTGTATGAGCACCATACCTGTATCACTAACCAATGAATCTAAATAAAAAAGCAACACTAAATATAAATGAGAAAAAAAAGTTAAAATATTTAATGCTAGTTCCCAATAACGTGCCCCTATTCTAGTTATGGTGACTTTCCCGAGTTACCTTGCGTGGGGTGAAGCCGGTTATCCCAGGACCAAGTGTGCAGGAAGCAAAGATGACAGACCAGTCCCGCCAGCCAGTTTGCAACCAGCATGTTCCCTTCCAATCTGCAGAGAAATGAAAGGACTGCGAGAGTCCTATTCTCCCCCCCACCACCCCTCACGTGTCTCCCTCTCTCCCCCCAACCTGCGCCCCTCGGATCCCCGGGGAGCCCTCACAGCAGCCGGGCGTGCAGGCTGAGTGTCTGTGGACCCCCACTGCTTGGCTTCTCTTTCTGCATCGCTTCCCTCTTGCCCCCCTTTTCCTTCTGTCTTCTGCTCCCCTGCAGATCCCACAGGCACCAGGTCACCCAGGGCAGAGCCTCATGGGGCTGTGAGCAGCTCAGCCACCAGAGAGAGAGAGCTGGAGGAAGGAGCTCTGCAGCAGCCCTGCTCCTCTGACCATCCCAGGACCCCCAACATCAAAGAGCAGAGCCCGCCTCCTGGCCAATGAGCGGCTGCAGAGCCCCTCACTCTGGAGCTGTGCCTATCTCCTCCAAGACGAGCCTGCATGGCACTGAGCTGGCTGGGGGTTCTGTACAAAGAGCAACTCTGGGGCAACGTTCTAAAAGGGCAACAATCAGCACCAACGTTCCACTGTTACCATGGGGACTGCACAACGTTTAGAACTTTGCCACAGATTACAGAATGACTTTCTTTTTACAGAACTCCCACAGTCTGCTGTCAGCTGTTCAGAGAGGAGAATATACAGCAAACCACCAAGCTTGGAAATAGAACACGTTTGGATGTGCACCCAAGGAAATTGGTTTTATTTTATTTGTTAACAGAGTTAGACAAAAATGCAAAGTCACTCTGTGAATGAAAGTGTAGCAGAGTTAAGTTTTTACTAACCTCCCCTATTTTATTCAGCACAGTAAAAAGTTTGGAAAGAATTTACTGGGATGAGCAAATGAGGAATTGTCACTTCCAGAAAAATAGACTATCCAGTTAAAAAAAGAAAGCTTTAGTTTGTTTAGTTTTTTTTCTTTATTTTACTTTACCTTACTATTAAAATAATAATAATAACAATACTTTAAGAAAATCAGGGAGAAGCAAGAAGCAGATAAATTCATAAATAACCGAAAATGAAAATGTATAAACAATGAATTACCCCAGACTAACACAACATTTCAGAGACGGAATTTCATTTTGGATAGTAATCACAGTTCATACCTGGAACATCCCTTTCACATACATACCTGTGACTAATGCCTCGTTTCCACTGAGCGGTATGGTTCGGGTCGGTGCGGTTCGGAAGGGTTAGAATGGTCCAGCCTATTCAGGTGAGCGTTTCCACTTCAAGTCGGACCGCCAGGGGGCATGCAGGGTTTAGACCAAATGCCTAGCGTTTCATTTGTCGTAAGCATTGACGTTTTCCTGTCCCCCAATCAATGGATTGTATAGCGTGATGCCAGTAGCTCTGCCCTAAGCGTACCATTTCCTATGGACCCAGGAATGGTGCGGTTTGGTTCAGTTGTATGGGCCACTTTCATAATGGAAACACTTAAAATAGCGTACCAGGTTGTACCGACCCAAACCTTACCGCTCAGTGGAAACGGCAATATTAGTGTATTTGGGTAATTGAGCGAGACCCTCAGACTGGAGTATGCAAAGCCCAGTTCACGTTTTCACAAAGGGCTCTCTAATGATGACATTGAGCTTCTATTTGATTCTGTTCCCAAGTTTTTATTGATAGACCTTTTTGATTGACATAATTACACACAGCCTTAAACATCCTCAGCCCTCTAAGTATTATTATAAAATGTTGCAAATATATTATGTAACTGGTGAAATTCTGAGACCATGGAAACTGGAGCAGTTTCATGGAAACCACTTTAAAGGTAACCTATAGTCCCCTCCCTCTCTCCCATAAAACCAATTATTATTTTGGAGTATAAGTTGCCTTAGAACAATGTGATCATTGTCCATGCACCTTTGCTCAGTAAAAGCTAAGTTAAATAAGAATAATTGACTTTGTTTCCAGTGCAGAGACTCCTCATAGAGAAGCATGGGGGCCTGCTGCAAATAAGTGAAAATCACTAAATTCAAGCCAATCGGATGCATTCAAACATTGAATCAATTATTGTAAGATCTCACTAAGAAGTGAATTAAGTCACTGTCTGAATGATAGTTACTAGAGGCATTCTCAGGAACAAATTGTTTCTCACATTTGTCAGACTGAAGGGACAGGATATATGCACCATACCACAACATTAAAGGGACATTATAGTGTTAGGAATACAAACATATATTACGAATTTTATAGTTTCCTGTTACCTATCTAGATGTCCATCCCCCGAATGTTAGATGGTTTGAAAGGTGAGATTTACTTTACTTTTACCTTTCAACCCTCATATCACCAGCTTCTATGATGGAATTCCACCTCCTTGGCTGAGATCATCAAGATTGATGATGTCAACCAATCCCAAGCTTACCCATAGGGAAGCACTAGGAGGCTGGCGTGCATGTGTTGCCAAATGCTGCATTGTTCCATTTAAATGTTGATCTATGAGAACCACTAGTTACTCAGGATCCTCCATAGAAATCAGTGTTGAGAATGCAGTGATGACATCAATTCCTGGTAGATAAAGCTTCAAGATGTGAAAAGAACTTTGTGGAAGAACATGGCGATGGCCAGACGGACAGGTTCAGGTAAATTAAAACTACCTTGCCCCGCAACCATGGGTCACCACACTAGAAGAGGATCAGTCATCATCTTGGGTCTTTGCAAAATATGCAAAGCTCTTTAGAAGGCGACAGAGACGCTTTGAGTGGTTATACATAAAGCATAGAAAAGGGCACATATAAATAAAAAGGTCAAACAGTTAAATTATGAAAATTAGTAAAACAATGGAAATCTGACAAATCTAAATTCTCAAATACTTCAATGTTTACGTAATTCAGAACTCAAATAAGTGTTCATTTCGGGCTTTTTTCCCTATCACATACCCTTATAGAGAGTAGCCACATTTATGTTGAGCCTAATTCTCCTGTAAGATGATATCACCTGACACGTTAAACATTGTTGATTATCCCTGTTATAAAGTAGGAGATTAGATAGACTGTTAACGCATAATTTCCTGCAGGGTATTTCATACATAAATAATTAAATCAACATTAAATTTCCTGTGAAATTAGCAATGTTTTGATATGTAATACTTCATGGCTTAGTGCTAATAATCTTAGACCTTTCCATTTCAGATTTAACCGACTGTGATAAATTACACTTGGCATCATTTCTTCTTATATTCTTAGAAAAAGATTTTGTACGTAATTAGATTAATTTACTATAAAAATTGACCTCTTCTGGATTATATATATGCAGTTTTCTTGACAGCTTTTGGTTTTACATTAAGCTCTTCTGTCTTGTATTTTGTCAATGTATGAGTTGCTCAAACTATTTAAAGGGACACTAAAACTATTGTAGCTTAGATTTACTGAAAAATACAATAGACAGGAAATAAATGATAGAATGATTCGAGTATCCCTTTTAACAACCACCAGAGACTTTAGTACAAACATTTTTGCACGTGAAGAGTTTTTGGCGATGATATAGATTTGTTCTCAATTCATTGGTAATAGTCCACTTCAAGACAGTGGTTTTCTAAGTAACAGCAAGTTCTACCCTATTGTTTTGCATCTCCCCAAGACAAGACAGGTGTTTGGGTTGGGCCCACCTTTAAAAAGAAGAGGCCTTACATTTTTTCTTCTTCTCAAGCAGCTATGAATTTAGGGAACAAGGTGAACCTGCATGAGCCATTATGACATTGTATGTTATGATGTCGCAACTCTATGCCTTGTGCTTTTCAGGTACACAATAAAAGGAGGCAGAGACAGAGGTGTGTCCTACCATGATGTTTGACCAAAAAAGAAGGTTGTTGTAGAATGAGGAGGTAAACCCAGTTACAGTCCCTTTGCAGTGATGCAGAGGGAATATATGGAGCCCTGTCTGAGAAATGTATTTCTCTTCAGACTAAAATCCAAAGCTGGAGCAAAAGGCAAAGTAAGTCAGGATTTATGGGTCGATATTTCTAATGTGTATACATGTTGGGAGGGACGATATTAACTCTTAGCTTGAAGGGTAATATTCTTGACGAGGAGATGTTCTTGCTCATCCACTCTCCCATGAACTGCCACAATTGTGTTTGGTTCCATAGGAATGCTGGTGTACTGTACACTCCACGTAAACCTGGTGGAGCGCTAGATCAATATACACTTACCCTTATAAAATAAGGGGGGGGGACAATAGGGTGTACTGGAAATAAGAGAAATATACAAAATACTGTAATCAATTCCAAACAGGGAAATATATATAGTGAATACTGGATGCACTTACATGAAACTGAGCCCTATAAGTATCGGCGCAGATTACACCAACGGTGGTATACTGTAGCAATACCAGCGCCTCTCCTGTATCTAATATAGGAAAACTCAATTGGGGAAATAAATCAAATAAAGGGCATGTTCTAGTATAAAACCTTAAACAGTGATGTGATACTATAAACTTCACCTTATAAACCTTATACAGAGCGTGATATACTTGTTCTCAGTGTTCTCATTGTAAAGGCATTTGTACCATTAGAGAGGGTACAGCCCTTCTTGGAATGGAAGCAGAATGTCAGTCGTACACAGGACTAAAGATAGGCTAATATACTTTATAATAACAGAAAACAAACGAAATCCACTAAAAACTGTTAAAATATATAAAACAAGCCAGATAGTAACAAAGATGAATAAGGCCCACAGGTCCTCATAGATCAAGACGCTTTTCGACAATTTTCTCAGCTTTTTCAATTGATAAGCTACTTTCATTAGGTCCACCATTAAATATTATGATGGGTGGACTGTCCGATAGCTGGCTAATCGTGTATTGTTTCACAGGGGGAGTATGTTCATCTGCCTTATCCAAATCATTAGTGGCAGAAGTGACGCGACAGAACTTGCCCCATGCCACTTCCGCGAAGGTTTCATGCTCGCACGATGCTCCATCTTGTGAATTGGTGATCTGATGGTAAATTGTGTGGTGCAGTGGACTCAGCCATGTCTCAAGATTTACCTACACGATCCAGAAGTGACACAGCTGGGATTTCACCACATCACACTATTTACCATCAGATTGCCACCTGTGAGTACTCATATGGTTCAGAAATCATTATATTTACACACACCATCTCCATAATGTGCCATAATCCAATGGCATGAATTATGTCTTAAATAATTATGTCAAATATTGTCTCATTTGTAATAATTTTATTTAAAGGAACACTATAGCGTAAGGAATACAAAACAGTATTCCTAAAGCTATAGTTCCCTTTGCTCCTCCTGGTGTTGCAAAAGGTTAAAAAACTTTTTATCACTTACCTGTTTAAAACGCCAAGGAGCCT